CTATTATTAATTTATATTTATTGAAATTTTTAACACTATTCTTAATTTAAATTTATTTTCTTTTTTTTAGTGTGATTTTCTATAAAAAGTGTGTTTTTAGTTTTTTTAAACTATTATTTATTTTACTTATTGCTAATCATATATATTACTTATATTATACGTCAATTTTTTTTTCTGATTTTTTCTTGCCATAATTTTTTTGCTATAAAATTTTTAAAATTATTAAATATATGCTAAATGAAATATCATTCATGGTAATCGAAAAAATCGTATGCACATACAGAAAAGAAATGATTTGATTGGTCAATAATAAGTAAAACATCAACATATACAAACGCATAAATAGTAGCCTTAAGTATTTCCCGTATGAAGAGTTTACTACCACAGCCGCGCGTTCATTTGCGTATAGTGTTAGGAAAAGTTGAACGTCGCTGAGTTAAAGGCTTTCTTTTATACGCAACCCTTTTGTCTGGTGAACCTGTTGCGTACTTTCGCGTTCTTCGAATTTAATTAATATATTTAATTAATAATCAGCTTTGATTCATTGAATTATAATATAAAAATTAAAATTTTAAGCACTGTGTTTAATTTTTTTCATTCACATTGAATAAAAATTAAAAAAAAATTGATGATTTTTAATAATTAAGTAACATGGCAAACAAAGGTGAAATTATTGAAGAAGGTGGCTTTTCCTATTATGCTGAAAAAATCAACGGAAATACTAAGTAAGTGCTGCTAATTTTTTTTTTTGTGATTGATAATATAAGATAATTAATGTATTTAAATAATATATAATAATGTATGATAGTGAATGAGACAGATACAGAAGATTCTTGTGGTTAAAAAAAATTAAATGAATTGTTAAGAAATTACATATACAAATTTTGTAATTTTTTTACATGTAGATTTTTTATTTTTAAGTTATTCGCATTTTAATTGTTTTTTTTTTTTAAATATTAGAACTAAACAATGTTTGCTATATTCAAAGTTATTAATAATGTGATGGCTGATAATTTTGCGGATATTAATTAATTTTTTAAAAAGAAAAAAAAATTTTGATAAAATAATTCTTGGAAAAAAAAAAAAAAAAAAATAATATTTTGAAAATTACACAAAAAATATACATGCACATTTTTCTGAAATTACTTATTTTCAATTATTTATTCATTTATTTCCGATTCTGAGAAATTAATGTATGTTTGATAAATTGTTAGAGTCGGAATAATTAGTACATTTAAATAAATAGATCTTTTTAATCATAAAAATTTATTACTGCTTGAAAATTTAAAAATTAAATTATGTTCTTATGTTTTTAAGTATTGTTGATTTATTACTTTCAAATTGTGACCAAAATTAACATAATATTATAATTATATGATTTTTCGCTTATTGTAGTAAATGCTGAGCTTGAAAATTATTATATTTGATAATAACCAATTTACTGTTTGTATATATTTAGATATGTTTGTTGTAAAAAAAGAAAATCCAAAAAGTGTCCTGTGCGGAGTACAAAAACTCTGGATGAACCCATCCAATTCACAGTTAGCTCGCACCGACATGCATTGGATTTTTATAACGATGATGTGAGACGTTTTCGGCGTGAATTAATAGCTGCTGCTGAGAAGAACTTGTATCCCACTAATGAAATTTATGCAACAGTTTCTAAATCGTAAGTATTATTTAAATAAAACATAAAATTCTTATTTGAACATTTTATGTTATATTTCCTACATTGTGATTAAACTTTAAATTACATTTTTCAGGCATCTCGAAGATGTTAGAATTCAATTGCCATATGCGGTTATTAGTACGGTGATGCGTCAACATCAAAAGGAAGCTGTGGACGAGTTACCAGAGTTACCAACTTACAAGGATTTTGCAGAGTTTTTCGAACGTAATGAAAATTTATGTTTCATGCGATATGCTGATAAAAAATACGTTATAGTGTCAAATCTCGAGAATGATGCATTACTCATCGGCGACCCGGAGTTTAGCAAGTCGGGTCAGTGTGATACTATACATATCAGCTCAACAGCGAACATTCTCCCTGATTTTAATGGCACTCGTCTCCTGACTTTTATACTAGGACAAGATGGACATTATGTACGTTTCAACAAATTAATTCATATTTAATTACTTTAAAATAGTATATAAAAAAATAGTAATTTTATTTTAATTTTTTATTGAAAAGGCCTTTCCTGTTGGTATCATTCTATGGACTAAGGTGGCCCGTGATGCATGTACGGAAATTTTGAATCAGGTGAAAGAACGTCTATTTCCAAACGTAAATATCACTAAAATTTACGTAGATTTCGATTTAAAACTTTTTGTGGAGGAAGTTTTCCCAGAAAGTGACGTCCGTGGCACGTTCAATAATTATTGCCATGTAAGTAAAGTTGCTGATGTATTTTTTTAATAATTGATAAAAAAAAGACTGTCAATCTATCTGAAATTAATTTGTTTTTAAATTATTTATTTGCTTTTAATTCACATTTAGAAAATTAAAAAACTATACGCGCTTTCTTTTATAACAATACTTTTTAATTATTTATTCATTCAATTTTAATTCTATTAAATTAGTGGATATTTTTAGATTGATAGTCATAAAAAAATTTATGTGAAACATCAATAAATCAAATAACAAATAATTAAAAATAGAACAATGTTATTCACATTTACAGATATTATTTCACGAGGCCCTAAGCAATAATGATTTACGGCTTAGGATTCCTGAACATGAAGAATTCTTAAAGAAATGTTTTTCTTTAATTCTCTTACCTTCAAATAAGATTAAGGAAGGTTTTGAAGAAATCAGCAACAGTTTATCAGTGGAAACAAAAGCTCAGCTGACAAATTTTATTAATTACTTTAATAGAGTATGGATAGAAGGAGTAACTCCGACATCGATGAGCTTATATGAAAAGGTAGAAAGCTTAAATACTGTCCCCGTATTGTTCAGAACTACTCTTGAAAATTATATGGGCGAAAAACCTTCGCTGTGGAAATTTTGGAGTAAGTGTTTTATTTAAAATAATTATTTATAATTACTCAAATTGTTCTTGTGATGAAAACAATATAGATTTACAAATAGGAATAAATTAAATAACTTTTCAACTTAAATTTTTTAAAAATATTTTTAACAAATCAGATTATCTAAAACTTTTTTTTCTTATTTACATTTTCTTTTATTTATTAATTTCGTTTGGTTTCAGGCAATTTCATTGTTCTTCTTAACAAATCGACGAATGAACGTCAACGACGATCGATTAAAAAGAATTCGTATATCTCTGTATCTATTCGATTTAATTTATGCTTCAACAAGAAGCCAATGATAAGTTTATGGCGATCACTCACTAAGTCTAAAATAACATTGCCACAATTTTTAAGTAAAGTAGCAATTTATTACACTGATCATTACTGGGATTTGCTCCACAGTGCTGAATTTTTGATTGAGGAGCAGTTGGATTTATATCCTCCTTTGGAAAATGAAGGTAAAAAATATTTTAATAATTAAACAAGCAAAAGTCTTACATTGACACTGGCCTAGTTATTGACACTTGTAATTTTATTTTAATTAAAAAAAAAAAAAAAAAAGTAAATTCTGATGAATTAATAAATATAATTTTTTTATTATAAATTTTAAGATAATTGGTTTTTTTAAAACATTTCAATTTTTTAATTAGAATAAAACTGATTTAGAAGCACTTGTAGTGTTGTCATTGTTATAAGAATTACAAAAATTGTCAGCTGCCAGTTAACTTCAGTATCATACATTTCTTACTTATTTTACTTACTACCAATTATATATTACTTACACATCAGTACTATTACGTCGACTGTAACAATGACCATCATCGAAAATTAATTCAGATTCGATATTTTGTCTTTTTCCGAATTGAAACAATTTTTCCATGTTTACTGCCATAAGTGTAAAAAAGAATTTATTTAAGCATGCTAATTGAAAAAACCGTACGCACATAAAGAAAAGAAATGATTTGATTGGTCAATAATAAGTAAAACATCAACATATACAAACGCATAAATAGTAGCCTTAAATATTTCCCGTATGAAGAGTTTACTACCACAGCCGCGCGTTCATTTGCGTATAGTGTTAGGAAAAGTTGAACGTCGCTGAGTTAAAGGCTTTCTTTTATACGCAACCCTTTTGTCTGGTGAACCTGTTGCGTACTTTCGCGTTCTTCGAATTTAATTAATATATTTAATTAATAATCAGCTTTGATTCATTGAATTATAATATAAAAATTAAAATTTTAAGCACTGTGTTTAATTTTTTTCATTCACATTGAATAAAAATTAAAAAAAAATTGATGATTTTTAATAATTAAGTAACATGGCAAACAAAGGTGAAATTATTGAAGAAGGTGGCTTTTCCTATTATGCTGAAAAAATCAACGGAAATACTAAGTAAGTGCTGCTAATTTTTTTTTTTGTGATTGATAATATAAGATAATTAATGTATTTAAATAATATATAATAATGTATGATAGTGAATGAGACAGATACAGAAGATTCTTGTGGTTAAAAAAAATTAAATGAATTGTTAAGAAATTACATATACAAATTTTGTAATTTTTTTACATGTAGATTTTTTATTTTTAAGTTATTCGCATTTTAATTGTTTTTTTTTTTTAAATATTAGAACTAAACAATGTTTGCTATATTCAAAGTTATTAATAATGTGATGGCTGATAATTTTGCGGATATTAATTAATTTTTTAAAAAGAAAAAAAAATTTTGATAAAATAATTCTTGGAAAAAAAAAAAAAAAAAAATAATATTTTGAAAATTACACAAAAAATATACATGCACATTTTTCTGAAATTACTTATTTTCAATTATTTATTCATTTATTTCCGATTCTGAGAAATTAATGTATGTTTGATAAATTGTTAGAGTCGGAATAATTAGTACATTTAAATAAATAGATCTTTTTAATCATAAAAATTTATTACTGCTTGAAAATTTAAAAATTAAATTATGTTCTTATGTTTTTAAGTATTGTTGATTTATTACTTTCAAATTGTGACCAAAATTAACATAATATTATAATTATATGATTTTTCGCTTATTGTAGTAAATGCTGAGCTTGAAAATTATTATATTTGATAATAACCAATTTACTGTTTGTATATATTTAGATATGTTTGTTGTAAAAAAAGAAAATCCAAAAAGTGTCCTGTGCGGAGTACAAAAACTCTGGATGAACCCATCCAATTCACAGTTAGCTCGCACCGACATGCATTGGATTTTTATAACGATGATGTGAGACGTTTTCGGCGTGAATTAATAGCTGCTGCTGAGAAGAACTTGTATCCCACTAATGAAATTTATGCAACAGTTTCTAAATCGTAAGTATTATTTAAATAAAACATAAAATTCTTATTTGAACATTTTATGTTATATTTCCTACATTGTGATTAAACTTTAAATTACATTTTTCAGGCATCTCGAAGATGTTAGAATTCAATTGCCATATGCGGTTATTAGTACGGTGATGCGTCAACATCAAAAGGAAGCTGTGGACGAGTTACCAGAGTTACCAACTTACAAGGATTTTGCAGAGTTTTTCGAACGTAATGAAAATTTATGTTTCATGCGATATGCTGATAAAAAATACGTTATAGTGTCAAATCTCGAGAATGATGCATTACTCATCGGCGACCCGGAGTTTAGCAAGTCGGGTCAGTGTGATACTATACATATCAGCTCAACAGCGAACATTCTCCCTGATTTTAATGGCACTCGTCTCCTGACTTTTATACTAGGACAAGATGGACATTATGTACGTTTCAACAAATTAATTCATATTTAATTACTTTAAAATAGTATATAAAAAAATAGTAATTTTATTTTAATTTTTTATTGAAAAGGCCTTTCCTGTTGGTATCATTCTATGGACTAAGGTGGCCCGTGATGCATGTACGGAAATTTTGAATCAGGTGAAAGAACGTCTATTTCCAAACGTAAATATCACTAAAATTTACGTAGATTTCGATTTAAAACTTTTTGTGGAGGAAGTTTTCCCAGAAAGTGACGTCCGTGGCACGTTCAATAATTATTGCCATGTAAGTAAAGTTGCTGATGTATTTTTTTAATAATTGATAAAAAAAAGACTGTCAATCTATCTGAAATTAATTTGTTTTTAAATTATTTATTTGCTTTTAATTCACATTTAGAAAATTAAAAAACTATACGCGCTTTCTTTTATAACAATACTTTTTAATTATTTATTCATTCAATTTTAATTCTATTAAATTAGTGGATATTTTTAGATTGATAGTCATAAAAAAATTTATGTGAAACATCAATAAATCAAATAACAAATAATTAAAAATAGAACAATGTTATTCACATTTACAGATATTATTTCACGAGGCCCTAAGCAATAATGATTTACGGCTTAGGATTCCTGAACATGAAGAATTCTTAAAGAAATGTTTTTCTTTAATTCTCTTACCTTCAAATAAGATTAAGGAAGGTTTTGAAGAAATCAGCAACAGTTTATCAGTGGAAACAAAAGCTCAGCTGACAAATTTTATTAATTACTTTAATAGAGTATGGATAGAAGGAGTAACTCCGACATCGATGAGCTTATATGAAAAGGTAGAAAGCTTAAATACTGTCCCCGTATTGTTCAGAACTACTCTTGAAAATTATATGGGCGAAAAACCTTCGCTGTGGAAATTTTGGAGTAAGTGTTTTATTTAAAATAATTATTTATAATTACTCAAATTGTTCTTGTGATGAAAACAATATAGATTTACAAATAGGAATAAATTAAATAACTTTTCAACTTAAATTTTTTAAAAATATTTTTAACAAATCAGATTATCTAAAACTTTTTTTTCTTATTTACATTTTCTTTTATTTATTAATTTCGTTTGGTTTCAGGCAATTTCATTGTTCTTCTTAACAAATCGACGAATGAACGTCAACGACGATCGATTAAAAAGAATTCGTATATCTCTGTATCTATTCGATTTAATTTATGCTTCAACAAGAAGCCAATGATAAGTTTATGGCGATCACTCACTAAGTCTAAAATAACATTGCCACAATTTTTAAGTAAAGTAGCAATTTATTACACTGATCATTACTGGGATTTGCTCCACAGTGCTGAATTTTTGATTGAGGAGCAGTTGGATTTATATCCTCCTTTGGAAAATGAAGGTAAAAAATATTTTAATAATTAAACAAGCAAAAGTCTTACATTGACACTGGCCTAGTTATTGACACTTGTAATTTTATTTTAATTAAAAAAAAAAAAAAAAGTAAATTCTGATGAATTAATAAATATAATTTTTTTATTATAAATTTTAAGATAATTGGTTTTTTGAGAACATTTCATTTTTTTAATTAGAATAAAACTGCAAATGTCAAACAAGTAGGCCAGTATCAATAATAACTGGGTCTTTTACCTTATATTACCGATTTTAGGTGTTGAAGAAGCAATTGATAATGACCTAGAGGAAGTATATGAAAATATCCAGTATGCTAATTATGAAATGGAAGGTAATATATTATTTGTTAATTATTTACTGTATATAGAGAGTACATTGATAGATAAATATTTTCTAAAATTTTTAATATTTACATAATTTTACATAAACAAAAGTTAAAGGTGTGAGTAATAGTTATAAATAAATGTTCTTCGTTTAAATTTAAATGAAAACATTTAAAAAGATCAAATAAGATATGATCAAAGTTTTTGAAATTTTATTATTAATAATTAATTATTCTACCAGTCTAGCTTTTTCTTATTAATCTAAAAACTTAGATTTTTTTATTAATAAATTGACTTATTTTAATTTAGAAGACTTTATTCGCGGAAATGACAATGAAGGGAATGACGAAGATGAATTTATTATTCTGGAAATCCCTTCAACAAACTGCGAAATTTGTATCACTGGACCAAGACAGATGATAGTTATTCCTTGTCACCACTATCGCATGTGTTTCGACTGCTCAACAAAAATAAGGGAAATCGCAAACAAGAATAATCTTCTTCTTAAATGTCCATTTTGTAATAGCCCAGCACAAGAATTTAGCCGTGTTTTTTAAAAGTGAAATTTAAAATTGCTATACTTTTATTCTTTTATATACTTTTATATCCTCAGTATTCTTACATTTCTGATTTTATGTGTTTGTTTTGAATAAGAATATTATCTATAAAATTTTAAAATATTCGTATCTATTACGTAGATAATATTTTAATAATTTACGAGTTTCAAAGTAATTACTATGTGTTGTTTATTTGCTTTCATTTTATTATTATTTAAAAAAGTAATTAATATATTTACTACGTGTGTTTTATTGGATAAATGTACGCAGATGATATTACAATTTTTTATATTATTTGTGGAATTAATTATTTGATATTGTTCTACACTTATTTTAATAACAAAAAAAAGAATTTTTAATACAATTGATACGTGTGCTTAAGTTAACTACAAAATTACTATTATTTCTTGTTGTAATGAACAAATAAAGTAAAACTCTATGTAATTGGAAATTATAATTGTTTTTATTTATTTCTAAAACTTAAATTTTTCATTTAATTTCTATTAAGCTATAAATTATTTAAATGCTACTTATTTAAGTTTAATATTATTTTAAGTTCCATAATGAAATGAAATTGTTTATAAATAAGTGCGTTAAAATTTAAAAACAAAAATTTTTAATCGATACAATTAGTCCGTATGGCAAAAAGTATTTTTATTGAATAAAAAAACCAACGTTTTTTATTACTGTAGTAATCAATTATTGCCCTGAAGAATTTTATAAAAAGAGCAGCAATTAATTTTAGATTTTTTATTAAAGTAATTATACAGATAGGTAATTTTCTATTTGATTTATCAATTTCTGTTTCTAAAATCATTTGTAATATTTTCCTGCTTATCAACATAACTCGCAACTATCGGTAGTAGAGTTTACTATTTTATTGATTAAGTATTTAGTTTCACAAGAGTACTGTTTCGAAGAATGATCACATTCCTCATTCTGCACTCAAGTGAATTTGACTTCGTTTGTAATTATAGTTAGTCAAATCAACTAATCGAACGAATTTTGTTTTTATCATTTTTTTTCGATTATTTCTTTTTTCTCTCTTGAACATTTTTCAAATTCTTTTAATATCGAACACATTCATAATTCTTTACTTTATTTATATTCAAAGTTTTCGGCGCCTCTCATACTGCACTCAAGTGAATTTGACTTCGTTTATAATTAAAGTTACTCTAATCAACTAATCGAACGAATTTACTTTTTATAATTTTTTTTCGATCATTTCATTTTTCTCTCTTAATCATTTTTCAACTTCTTTTAAGATCAAATACATCTATATTTCTTTACTTTGTGCACATTCAAACGTTTCCGGCACTCTAAAGATTCTACTTGGACAAGATATTGGAGGGAAACCACGCATCACAAAATCTAAAGCAATTATACAATCCCTTATAAAAAAACTTGAAGAATTTCAAAATAAATAAAATAATTATTGTATACATTGTATACATGAAAAATATATCGATACTGCCATTCTAATACGTCGTATCCCACAAAATTTCACATATTGACTTTTTTTGAAAAATAAAATCACAACAATATTATCTAAGTCATATTAAAAATTTAAAGGTCTAATAGTTTAATAACTATATTTAAATAAATATTTTCATCCGTTGAATCCCATTTAATCAATATTAAAAATGAACTGTTTTCACCGTCTGCGGTAAAATTTTATAAATTCATTTTAAAAATGAAATTTTTGAAACAAATTTTTCTTGCTGTAATTTATTTATTAAAATTTATTAAATGTCTCTAAATTTCAGTATCATTGGAATGGGCAGAAACTTAAAATTTTTTTTATTATTATTTAAAAATAAACAAGGTCTAGAAAATTATTTTTTAAAAAATGTATTAAAGACAGGTAAATTCCAACAACTTCTTGGCTAAAAAAAAATTGTAACAATTAATTTTACAATACTTGACAGTTTATTAAAATATAAAAAAAATGTGTACCCAATATCGCTGTAAGAATCCATAAATCCATTATATCTTATTTTTCGGAGCATATTAATATATTCTATCGGCAGTACACGATCTAATGCTCCCTTTATAATAATTTTCCTAAGTAAATAAACTAATAAATTTATCTAATTAAATGATTTTTATAAAAAATCAATAGAATACTAAAAATTTACCTACAAGTAAGTCTGAGAGGGTATCATGGGATTACGAAGTTCCCTGAGCTTAGTATAAGCATTAGGAACCTTGATCTGCTGATAAACTCGACAATTATACTAGGCACCGCTGTGAGTAATGTCATCGACTTGAAAGGTATTGTAACCAGCCTCCTGATGATCTGAGTGCTCAATGTCTGCTTTATCTAGCTCCCAAATAACCTCCTAGACGTGGAAGCCTGGAGTTTCTACGATATTGTAGCTGGAGCTCCGATCCATAGGTTTGACCAGCCGATAAAGTCCAAGCGGTAATCCTGAAAAGTTTATTATTAAAAAATATCAAATGATTTTTTAATTGAAATTTTTTATTTTTTAAATTTACAATTTAAAAAAGATATTTTTTAAAATTAGCATTTGTAATTTTTTTAAAATTTTTTTATCTGGTTATTACTTAACTAATTAATAATCATGCGTTTAAATCATAATAAAATATATAAATTTAGAAAATAAAAATGTGTAATATTTTTTACTGTCATCATTTTTTTATTTATAAGAATATTTATAGTTTATTGACATAATAAAAAATAATTAGATTAATAGTACTTGATGAAGTATATTATTTCTTTTTATATTTTTTCTTTGTTATTCTCAATTATTACTAATTAACTTTTTCAAATTTAAAAACTTAAAAATAACAAGCAAAATAACATGATTCTATTTAATTACAATGAAATTGTATTGATTAAAATATATAATACAAAGCAATAATTACTTGTAGAAGATTTTTTTTTTAATTAAAATAATAATTTAATTTTGAACTTTTCAAACAAAATATTTATATTTAAAAATTTGTAATTTAAAATATTTCTTTAAAAAAAAAGATGAGTATTTTCACAAACGCGTCCTCTAAGTTTTTCAGATTATTTTTAAGTGATAGAAATATCAAATCCTGTAGAAAATTCCTTAAAGAACATATCGTCAAAAATACATATAGAATCTTTATAGAGTCAGAAAGAAAAATCACATTATGCATTTGTCCATGTTCTATAATAATTTTTCTGTAGAAATGTTAATTGGTAAAAATTTTTAAATTAAAAGAAGTTGCTGTTTTCTACTCTAAGAAATGAAAAACAATAGTGAGTATGTATACAGCCGTCTACCTGTTTAAAAAAAAAGTATTTGAATTATGTGCAAATAAAATCGCATAGTGACTGCAAGCTGCTCGTTGTTATTATTTATTAAGTAAACAAGCCGATTTTTATTAATACTGAAAATTTCTATTAGATTTATCAGTTGCCGCCATAATTCAAATTATATCTAGATAATTTTTAAAGATTGGTGATTCACTACTGTACCAACGAACGTTAAGCAATATTTTCTTCACCGTTTACTGCAAAAAATTGGTAGTGTTTGAAATGGTAGAGTTTTAATTTAATAGACTTAAAAAATGTTAGAGCTGTATTACGGTAGAGTTATTTTTTGGTATAAATTCATTTTGATATAGTTGTTATGTGGTTGAGTTGTTTCTGGTAGATATTAAACTGGTAGAGATGTAA